CATACTTGAAATGAGCCTAAAATATATGTACAGTAAAAATTTCATTGTCCTCAGCTATAAATTAATGCAACTTTTTTATAAATCCAATCTCCCCTTGAAGGCAGTTCTAGTTAAGCAGCCGTTCGGTTTAAGAGATTTCCGTTTCCTAAAAGTCCACAGCGTCTTCCGAGTGCAGCAACACTTGAGTGTTGGGAGTCTCACTTCAAACATAGATTGACGGGAGTTAATTAGTTCACTGAGAAATAGGGAGAACTGGCTTGAAAAGGAGCCGCCAGATCCAATTCTCAATCATAATGTGCGAGATGTGGGTTAAAGCTTATTTGCTCACAGACGAACTGGTGAAATTTTAGCACATTCAGTCAAGCACTTGAGTTATAAATGAAATATTTTATAAACACTAGAGTGGCAGGAGAGTCGGACTACTGCTGCACTCAAGAGCCGGGATGTAACAAGCTACTTGCTGTGCAGGTGTCTACATTTATGCTGTGCAGTTGTCTACAATCTTACCTTGTGCTCAGCTGTGCACACAATCAAGCTTCTTAAGGAAGGCTTCTATCAGCTTGGCAATAGAATGGAATGCTCTGCAGGGGCTGACACATTAGTAGAACACCATGGCTTCATTCCATTCAGCACATGGTGCCACATGCCATGGCAAAACGGCAGTCACCAGCAGCGAGCAGGGTTCGTTGTTTGAGACTTGTAGGGCTTATTTTGTAGACTTGTGCAAAAAGTTAACTCGAGGTTCGATTTCCCTGTGTAAATTGATTCGGTTTTCCCTGTGATCTGCGCGCAATGCATCTTGAGTTCAGGCTGAGTAGTGAGTGGTCTGTGCAACAGATGCTTCTGAATATCAACCAAGATGTCCTGCCCAAAGCAGTGCAAATCTCTGATAAAAAAAAAAGCCATGTTGATCAAGGAAGACGAAAAAGCAGGTCGAAGCAAGTCGTGCATCTCCAAGAAATTCGGCATTCCTTTGTAAACCATCTCAACAATGCTAAAGAACAAACAAAAGTTTTAAAGGCTTCGAGTAAAGCTTCTGAAGTAAGGGAAACTGCATTCAAGCTTACGCATTCCCGGACGTCGAAGTAGCATTTCTGTTGTGGCTCTAGACGTTCGAGCAGCCAATCTTCCCATGACAACTCAAATGATTCAAGCTTACGCATTCCCGGGTGTCGAAGTAGCATTTCTGTTGTGGCTCTAGACTTTTGAGCAGCCAATCTTCCCATGACAACTCAAATGATGATACAGTCGAACCCGGGTATATCGAACTCGCCAAAAAACGTTTATTAGTTCGATATATGGCATAATTCGATATAGGCCAGGCATAGGTTTTGACACAAAGGCACATAACAAACTACAAGAAAAGTACTTTTAATATGGTGGCTTACTTGCGTGCCCTACTGTGGAACAAAATAGTCCCGGATTTTTTTCTGTGTCAACGACTTCGCTGCCTGCGACAGCACTCACGCCTCCACGTTGTCCAACGAGTCGGAGCAGCTGAGGTCGCAACCTTCCACATTCAAGCAATAGCGCCGGACCAACGCAAGTACACTAATCACTTCGGAAGATGTAGGCAATGGGCCATCGTCGATTTCCATATTCCTGTCGCTTGGGCTCGTGGTCGGCACGACGTTTGCAATATAATCCTCATCCTGTAATTGGCCCATGATGGGGACATCATCGTCCACACTGACGAACTAGTCGAATGTCGATCCGTCGATAGCACCCGGGAACTCTGCCAGCTCGTTCCAAACTTCGGCGGAAACACCTGCGGTGTCTTCAATGCTGTCAGAATTTGGGGTGTCATCATCAGGCATGCGGAAGCCGGCATGCCTAAAGCAGTTCTGGATCGTCTCCTTCTTGACATTTGCCCACGATCTACTCAACATAGAAATAGCTCCGAGCAAGTCGATCTTAAGCTCCCTGCCGACACGAAGGTTCTGCAGCAGCCTCTCCACCAGGCCCTTCTGATAGCCGGCTTTCATTGCGCGTATAACGCCTTGATCCAGAGGTTGCAGTACAGACGTAGTGTTCGGGGGTGAAAAACGCAGCTCGATGTTGCTGAAGGTCATACTGCAGTGGTGCGATGAACAATTGTCCACGAGCAGGCACACCTTGCGATTTTCGCCTACCAAATCATCATTCCACGACGATAGCCATCTGCTGAAAAGCTCCCCGGTCATCCACGCTTTTGAGTTTGCTCGGTAAGTAACTGGAAGCGACAGCGCATTTCGAAAACACCGCAGTGCCGTGCTTTTCCCGATAACCAGAGGTCGAAGCTTTTTCGATCTGCTAAAGTAGCTGCCAACAGCACAGACACACGAGCTTTGTTTGCCTTGCCACTGCTTGTCTCGTCGCCACGACAGGCAAAGGTCTTGTTTGGCAACATTTGCCAAAATAGAGCGGTTTCATCTGCATTGAAGATATCTTGGGCTCTATATCTTGTTGCGATATCTCGCCAGTTTTCCTCGAGCCATTTTTCTACGCTGTCCAGGTCCGCCACTCTGCTTTCACCTGTAACAGCTTTGCCAACGATGTCGTGCCGTTCTCTGAACCACTGAAGCCAGCCTGAACCGCCTTGGAAATCATCCCTGCCAAGCAGAAAAGCAAGGTCCTTGGCTTTCTGCTCGATCATAGGGCCGGACACTGGGATGTTTAGCGACCGAATGTCCACAAACCACTTGTAAACGGCCGCTTCAACATTTTTGTACACAGCAGCGCGCACACGTCGGGCGCCACGGGCACCTGGCCTTTTGTCCGACTTGGCCCTGATGTCTGCCTTGTTCTTCAGGATAGTACTCAAGGTGCTCCTTAGAATTTTGTACGCGGCGGCGACGTCGGACTTCTTTTCACCGCGCTCAACCCGATTGATGATTTCGAGTTTCGCGGCGAACGGCAAATTTTGCCTCTTTGCGCAAGCCATGATGACAGCGCGCCAATACGGTTCACAGAGCACGAACAGGCAACACCACAGACCATGCTGAATCGACAGCAGCAGGGACACAAGCATAAAGAAAGAAAAAATGGCACTCACTTCTACCGCCTCCGCGCCTCAGAGAAAGCACGATGGCCTCTGATTGGCTGTAAGCGCTGCGAGCGGGCCAGGATCATTTCTTGGAGGGGGGTGTTCACCCACGCACAACCGGGTCTAACCAACCTTTTTTTAGGGTGGCGCCGGCAGTTTTCCCCGCCACCGCGACGGAAAGCCAACTCGCTGGGGCACTTTTGAGGCACATGGAGTTTGATATATCAGTTCTCGTTGCTATTTTCGTTCGATAAAACAGTAACTTTTGCTATATATTCTCAATGTAAACTTACCGTGTTTATGAATTGTTCGATATACGGGATAATTTGATATAAACGGGTTCGATATAGTCGGGCTCGACTGTAGAAAAAGAAGACACTTTGGCGCTGCAGATGGATCACGCAGACTTCAGCTTTAGCAATGGCTGGTTCGAGCAGCTTAAGAAGTGAAATAACGTCTCATCGAAGCCTATCCACGGCAAAATTAGCATTGTCGATGAACAAGCTGCAGACGGAGTATGCGAACAAGGACATTTTCAACCTCGATGAAGATGCTCTCTTTTACAAGAAGCTGACTAACCACACATACATACCAAAAGGCGAAGTGTGCTCAGAGACTAAGCAATACAAAAACAGAATAATCATTCTTTTTGGTGCCATCATTACCGGTGATGCAAACCTGCCCCTCCTTATCATTCGCAAGTCGTTGATTCTCAGATGTTTCCAAAATGCACGACTCTCTAGGAGTTTGACCTACGCACAAATAAAACGGCTTAAATGACGGTGGCGCTTTTTTAAAAGCATGTCTTTGCACTTGACCGGAAGATGGCAAAGGACAGTCGGAAAGTGTTATGTTGTGGATAACTGCCCCAGTCATGGAAAAATCGACAACTTTGTGGCTGTTACGCTGGAGTTTCTGCCACTCTCCAGCCAATAGATCGGGGAGTCACTGAGATGGACCAGAAGTAATATAGGAAAAGCCTCCTACACCAAATTCTGCTGTCATACCACAATGAAAAAAAGTACAACATCCAGCAGCTTGAGCGGTCAATCTGATGACCCAAGCCTAGTGCCAAGTATGCCACTTGGCAATTGCTAACGCTTCGCACACGCAGGGTTTTCTCGCGCCCTTGAATCAATCGAAGAAGACATTGGTGCAGAATTCAGCAGCTTTGATGAGTTGTGCAATAAAGTGCGCAATGCAACTGGCTGCACGAGCGATACTGAAGACGGCGAGATCGCCTTTGAGGAGTTTGCGCTCTACGAGGCGGACATTCCCATTACCGGAATGCTGTCGGACACTGATATTGTTGTGATGGCCGTGAACGAGGCAGATTACATTGCAGACGAGAAAGAGCCTAAAGAAGTGCCTATGACGACAGAGACATGTAACGTGCTCCGCTTGCTCCGCAACAAGGTCGCATGCAGCAGCGGCGACCATCGGCTCATGTGATGTGTTAAGCAACTGAAGAACACCTTCCTCGGAACAAACAAGAATGCAAAATAGGCGAGCATCACAAGTTTCTTGAGCACAGGGAAAAAAATTTCTTTTTCCCTGTGAATAATAATTCCTTTACTATGGTAGCTCTCTTGTGGAGAGGAGCTTTTCTTGGCAGCAAATGGCTTTTCCTTTAAAGTGACATGGTCAAACATTCACGGCGTTTTGCTCAACTTGAAATACCGCTTATCTTGAAATTTTCGCCTGATTTGATGGCTTTGAGTTAACGAGGAATTCCTGCACTTTAAAATTTTCAATAACTTCAATTCAATTTGAAGCCCATTCGAATACTGTATTATTCGTTTGAAGCATTCAAATATTCGCACAAGCCTATTATTTTGCACTTAAATATTCATTGGCAGTCAATTTTTAATGCAGTCAGTCCCCAATATATCAAACTCGAACATACAAATAAGGGCACACGACTATTAGGAGATATTGATGCGTATGCACATCTGATGTGAAAGTGCATGCTCACCCAGCCTCGTCAGCCACCTGCTGCATGAGGCCCTCGACCTCGTGCTGCGGGGCAGTGACTGTGGTGGTGGAACTCATGGTGTCCTCCATGCATGACGCTTGCACGTCCAGGTCCTCAAACTGCTTCTCAAACTTGTCCATCAGGCCAGAGATCTGCAAGCAAAACGACGAGATGAAACAAACAAGCATGTACGGTACGGCGCGTGGACGATCGTGCACAACTAGAGTGCACTACATTGTAGTATAGTAACAAGCACTGTCACACAGACAAGGTGACGATTATCACTCTGTGTACTTTGGTTGGGTTCGTTTGGATGCAATGGATGAATTGCAATGGGTGATATGTGAGAAAATCCTTTCTGCAGACGAAAAAGTGGGAAATATGTGTCCCACTGTTGAACAAAGGATTAATTACCGAGTCTACTATGCCCAAGGGAGCCGCACGCAGAGAAGTTGCGGCGTGTGCGTGCCAACACAACTCATTAATGCAAGAGAAAAAATCAAGCCTATTTTATGCATGCAGACTGTGATTAGAGGCTGTGTGCTGACCTGTGCTTCAAGGAATACCACACACTGAAATACTATAGGACGTTATGCCGTTCTCAGTTACACAAAGCCAAAATATTATTCCTGGGCAATTCTATTTTGACTTTACACATTTTACAAAATGAAAAACTGCAATAAAGTAAGTTGACCGTCTGCAAAAGCTTTTCTTTTTTTTTCTTTCAAGAAAATTCGACACTAAGAGGGCTGAACTAAACAACTACTTTAACCCTTGACTTAGATGTCTAGAGGTGTCTCTCACAGGACGGCGTTTGTGTGGCTTGGCACATTCATTGGGTTAACTTTGCGGTCCGCACGCTGCTAGAGCTAATATCAGGGGCCATGCAGAAAGAAGTAAGTGATGCTCCAAAGATCGCAGCTGCTCTTTCAATGAACTCATCTAATTAATTTCCATTAATTATCCTTAAAGTTAATTGGCCCTTACCGCAAGTAAACGAATTCTCTGACATCATACATATCCGATGCAACTATTACTTGGAATAAGAACCAGAGATTTCATATCAGCTTTAGTTTTAACACATTTCCTGAATGTTTGGAAAGCTGAAACCAAGTGATAGACTAAAAGTGCTTCAAGGAGACGCAAGGGTGTAACTTGTTCCTTTCACCACTAACAATATCTTGACCACAGTGCACACCTTTTCCAGGTTCATGCTCTTCATGGCAGCATCCATCGACTTGACAACGCCGGCCATGGAGCTGGTGACTTTCTTGGTGGTGACTGCCGTCTGCACACGGCTCGCCACGGCATCGACCCGCGATGCCATGCGGAGATAGTTGAGTGCCTGGTTCTTTTGCCGGATTGAGTTTTCTGCATGGATACGGGCACCTTCAAGGTTGTTCTTCTGAATTGCCTGCGCAGTCGAGGAGAAATTATTGACGGCGCACTTGAACACAACCAGAATGCACACTTCAATAAAAGGCTGAGGCACCTTTTCATATGAATTTAATACACACAAACACATTGAATTACTATCAGATATAATGAATGCTCGTCACTAATATAAACATATAACATATAAACTTCCCTGGAGATCATATTGAGGAGACCATGGAAACTTCTTTGTCTCGTTAGTATTGACAACATGCCCAGCACACCCGTATAAGGTACTATTTGAAAACACAGAGAGAAGTAGGTTCACAATTGGAGGTACCGGGCTGGCCAAATGTTCCCAGGCCGCTATCTCACGTATTTCTATGGCAGCGTGGCTTGGGAACTTGTGACCCTCCTGTACATATGATAGGAGTGCTTATTCTGCTCTGCAATATTGAAACAGCTACAAACACTCATATCTTTTATCCCGTCTGCACATTTTCACGAATCCCAGTGCAATCACAAATGTAGACATACCTGTTTTAATTTGTGACAGCACTGTGATTAGGGCCTCCATGCTCTATGAGGGTCACTATTCTCCCAAAACATGTGACCATATGTCCTCTGCACTGAGGAAAACTGTTTTTTATGCTCAAAACGTTTCAGGAAAAAAAAAAATGAGATAAGACAGAGTGCACACTCACAATCAGTTTAGTGTACAGATGGTGGGAATATAAATACACAATCGACTGGCAAAATAAATGTACACAATAAATTGGTTGTGTGTGCTCTATTCAATCTCGATTTTTTTTTCCCTGAAATGTTTTGCACAAAAAAATTGGGTTTTCCTTTAAGAATGCAATACCAACCAGCCCAAGCAGCTACTGTTTTTGCAAATTCAGAGTTAGCTGCCATAACTTCAAACAGTAGGGGTGGAGATTGTTAATTATTTCTATAAAACTTCATCATAATCAACGAACAAGTGTTTGTTCAGCACAGTTCTTTTTTTACATACTGTTTCTGGAAAGCAAAAAAAGAACTTCCAGCGTTGTTTTGTATACGCCAGAATTCCATGTCGGGATGGATTGTTTTAACTAAAGTTTATTGTAAATGCTTACAATTATTTCATCTCTGTGTTAACATAAGAACCTGCAAAAATGAAGTTCAATCAAGCCAAATAGCATTAGACAATATAGTGAAACAAGGTAAAGGGCTGAAAAAGCGGAGGCGCGACTTTTTATGAGCTCTTAAATCCAATAGAATGACTCCATCTTGACAGGTGGAAATTATTTCTAACCGTGCTTGGGCATATCAAACAAGCCACTGGAGGGTGTATATATCTCGTAAGCAAGTCTACAAAGCATGGAAATAGTACATGGAATGAAAGTGGTTGAAATTTATAACAAAAGCTACTTCTCTTTTGATAACACCATCTTACTAATGCCCTACACTCCTGGCCTGTTGTCTGGACATGGCTAATCAGTGCACTTTAGCAATATTAAACAAGCAACAGAAGAGGGAAGTTTCATTAGGGAACATTATACACTTCGATGAATCTCTGGCACATGAGAGAACACAATAAAGGTGCCCAGCCTGCAAGCCCAAGCCAAAGCAAAAGACAGAGAAGAATGGAGGGGGGGGGATCACTATTGTAGCTTAAACGTTGCGGTACTTGGCTGCTTATGCAAAAGGTGCAGTGTTAATCTTGGCTGCTGCAGTCACATTTTGAGAGATGCGTAATGCTATAGGCCCATGTACTATGTGATTTCACAGCACATTAGAGCATTATATAGCAAAGCCATTCATCCTTACCTGTTTAACATTGTAAGAGCAATAAAAATCATGTTTTTACCCCTATATAATGGTTTTGGCTAGACAGCGATATGAAATTTAAAAAAAAATTCATTATCACTGATCACTTAAATGATCTAGAGCTCTCTACTGCGGCATATCTTGTCTGAGCCTCTTTAATACATTAAACCCCATAAATCAAAATGAAAACCAAACTGGGAAAAAGGGGGAGTGTGCTCCTGCCCACAGTGCCAATCTCGTCTAGGTGGCATGGTAACAGCACGGTTAAAAATTTCATAACTGTTCCAGTAACAACCAGATTTGAAATATTCTTCTTGTAAAACATTCCACAGACAGCACCTTGCAACTCCCAGTGTATAATGAACATTTCCCGAGAGGCGTTGTGCAAGGTCCTTTGAGGAAATAACTCATTTACCGTTTCTCGCACTGGTTACACATGGAACCTTGATATGGTCAAAACTGTCTCTGTCGTAACTGCAAAGTGCCCACAGTAACAAAGGCACAGCGGCAACTTGCCTTTTTCAGCTTGGTCTTCTCCACCTTCTCTTCTTTCTCACACTTCTTGGCATTCCTCTCGAGCTCTTTGGCCGCAAACTTGAGGTTGAAGAGGTGCTCTGTGCTCAGTTTGTCAAGGGAGTCACATACATATGTGAGTGAAAGTAAACTATATTACAAGCTCTGGCACAACTGCATTTCGTTTAGGCAATTCACAAAAATAATTTGACGGTTAAAACTTTGAATTCTGTAGCAATAATAAAAATATCATCCCAGGTTTTCCATCATAAAACCACGATAAGATTATGAGGACCGTAGGCATTCTGTAGCAGGTTTGTGTAAAGGTTACATTTCCCTAGTTCTGCCCTTAACGGCTGCATTTTTGTTTACAGTACCCTGGAGGTATTAGAATGACCTCCTTTTAAGAAATCCCTTTCAAACAGCTATTAAAAGCAGAGGAGCTAAAACACAATTAACATTAAGAAGTGTCAAACATGTGCGCACCTGCACATACACATAAGCCTCAGAAGCTGGCACCGTTTTCCAAAAGCATTTCATGAATAGTGCCACTCAGAAAGATTGCGTTCAAGACTGTGAGAAAATGGAACACTATGAAACTATAAGGTGGCAAAGTCAATTCTTCAAGCAAGCACTACGGAGAAGTGGGCGGATGCATGTACCAATCGCAGAAAGTCCGAGGATTCGTGCTCAAGAAGCAATGAAATACACACCGGGACGAACCTAAGATACACAAAGGACAGATGCATATTTTTGCTTAGTCCCCCTGTGTTCTTTCATGCTTCTTAAAGGGGTACTGACACCATTTTTCAGATGTATCCACAAATATTCTCTATAAAGAGACAGCTCTGAGAAAGTGTGAGGCTCAGAAAATACTGCTAAGAGATTTTATTTTGATATTAGAGTCATTTCTCAGCTCCGAGAAAGTGTGAGGCTCAGAAAATACTGCTAAGAGATTTTATTTTGATATTAGAGTCATTTCTCCTGTGGTGCACCAAATGACATCAACACTAGCTTGACTCAGGCTACAGTACGAGTTGTGGTGGCTTCACATAGCAGTATTCATAGATGTGATGGCGTCACACACTGAAACTTCCAAAATGACTGTAGAAACGTCCCAATATCTTTCACAAGCACATGCTGAGAAGCTCGTACAGTGTTGCGATGTCGAAGAACAGTAAAAACCGAAACTAGCTTTCAAAAACACAGTAATCACTGTCACAGGATGCACCTATGCTTAGCAGTACATATTCTCGGCTCTTTAGACATTGGCCTTTCATACGACACGAGAAAAAAACAGCAACTGAAAGTTGTGTCAGTATTCCTTTAAGCAAGAACCTATTCCAACAAGGCCAAGTAGCTGTTCTGCTACAAGTCAGAAGAGTCGCTACTGTAAGACAGAAAGCAAGTCTTAAAATAAAAATTGCATTCATGTTTTATTGCATGAAAAGCCTCCAAGAGCTTTTATTGTGCTGTGGTGAGGTTAACCAACTGACTGAAAGAAAAGAGTGGAGAGAGTGACATTTTATTACGCTAAGCAGCTGCTGCATAGACAGCCCCTGCAACTTTCAAAGAGTTATGGGAATGTGACATGTACTGTTGCCCTAGCTGAGGGGGCAACCATTCCAACTCACCAATGATTAAGACAACTTGGAAAGAAAGTGCATTATCTTGCAATATTTTTGCTACTTATGCTCCATTTCAAGAACTGATTATATGTGAACATTAAAAATGCTGTGCTGCTGCATCATTAGGGCTATCAGTAATCCAAAATCTTGAAGTTGCCCAGTGTTTGTTACAGCTGGCAACCTTAAAGAAACACTAACAGAAAAATATATATATATATATTTTTTTGTATGAATAAAGTACTCTTTCACAACACCAAGACCACCTAGCTAACGAAGCGAGGAAACGCTTGGTTAGGAAGAAGAAGAGCAAAAATAATGTAAAAGTGGCGACACCATCTTCAAGTTCTGGCGGCGACCCCTGTGACGTCATCAATTTCGACAGCACCTAATAGGGCTCACGCAGTTTCTACTGTAAAGTCCCAAGCAAGAGGCCTGCTCCCTTCTTTGGGAGATTTCATTTCACATATGCGCCGTCTCCTCCTCCCATTTCATTTGCTGTTTTTATTTACCTGACAAGTGCAAATGAAAACAGTGATTGCCTACGTATTCAATAAAGCACTGCATTAGAAACACGGGTGTGCATTGTTTATTTTTAGCAGATTTTCTGCCTCCGTGTTGAATTTCAATGCATGATCGAGCTAGCCTTCCCCCCCCCCTCCCCCCTTTCATCACAGGAGGTGGGTGGGGGCACTTTCTCTTGATATTAGAGTAATCCGTAAAAATGAAATGCATTTTGAGAAAATGTGATGAAAACAGTGTGCCAAAAATATAAAAAACATTCCTTGAAGTCACGCACGGAGATTCGAAAATGAAATTGTGACCTTGCCCTTCTCTCGAGTTAAAGGGGCCCTCCAACACTATTCAACCCACCATATTTATTCAAGGGTTGTGTAGAATGAAGTATAGACAGACTAATGCAGCAAAGACGGCAGTGATAATGGCACGCAGTCTGGAGTTACTCGACTTCGAATATTCTAAATAAAAAAAGAAGAATAAAGAGAAACTTGGCAGATCCCACGTACAATGGGAATCGATGATATGCGAAGCACGAATGATAAAGGTTGATATGTCACTTTAAAATCAGCACAATGTTACGAGGTGGAGGTAAATTATGCCGTACATGACTTCCGTGTCATGATTATCATGTTTGGATGTGTTGTTTACCTTCATCATCTGTTCATGTCACGTGATACCAAATTTGGTATATGTGGAGCTAGCGAAACAACCGCGAGCACGCTATGAGCGTAGTATGTTGTCATGTTCTTGACACCGCGACGTCATATTGAAGGTGCCTGCAGGGTTCTACGTAGCTCTTATTTAATAAAAATGAAGTACATTGTCATCCAAAAGTGCCACAGACCTAGGATGCGAAGTTTCAGAAAATTTCTTTGACTGATTGGCGCAAAAATACAAAAAATACATCTTGAAATTAGGGGCGTAACGTGCGGAAATTTTGGCATGTAGTTTAAAACTGAGCTTCAACCTTGAATTTCTCCGCTAATAATTAAGTTATGAAGATAGTGAAACGTGTGGCACTAAAGTTTTCAAAGGGCAGTGCGTAAATCTAAACTAAGTCACTGTTTCTGTTTAGTGTCTCTTTAATAAACATTTGGTGGTGAAGTTAGCAACAGTGGTATTTTTAGATTACCTGAAATTCATCAGCATGACCTAATTTATTGTTCCACATTACTGTTACATCAGAAACACCCTAACTTGTATAGCCCCATCCTAGGGTGTGCAAAACATTTAGGGGTAGCACTTTGCAGCAGTGGAGTCATTAAGCCCCATGTGCACCGTGGTTGTTACCTTTTCAAGTGACCGCATATTTTGGGTCAGGTACAAAGCATGCAGCATTTTTTCTGAATGGGCGGCGGACATGTTTTCAGCCTAAATGTGTCATTATTTGGCATTGAGATGCTGCAAGCACCATGAAGCCAACTGGAAATTTTGGTTACACACGGGCACTTCTCGATGTTACCACTCGCACATAGCAGGTCTGCACGCCTATAGGCCACGCACGCCCCGAAGCAAATCATGTTAGACCCTACAGCTACCACTAAGTGTTGCATCTCAAAGCAAGGACAGCTGTTCACGTGCTCTACATAGGCGTGAATGGGGCTGTGCATTAACTGCACAGTAATTTACTCAACACGCCTGTGACTTATGAGACAGAACATCGCGAGACGAGTTTGACGAGACAGCTAGAGGAAAGTGGCAACCGCTATGCCAACGAATGTTCAACTGCATAAACAACTCGGCTAGCCGTAGCACAAGCGTGCAGACCGGCGAATACACGAACGGACCTGAAATACAACGCCCTTAGCATAATTGCTACGATAGGGCGAGCAGCGATAAACTGTTACACCAGTGAAGCGAAAGCGAAATTTAGAAGACACAGTTTTACAGCTCGATTCGTTCGTAGCCAAACACGCTAAACCACAGAACAGAGGGCTTCATGACGACGTGCCTGGAAAGAAATGGGAAACTTCCTATTGAAAAGCAGTGACGTAAGCCATTGACAGAAAGGATACTTTCCATGGCCGTGGCCATTTCTTCGGCGATGAATCACTCTCGGGCGTCTCTCACGTTTCACAACACAGCAAATACGATGCCCCGCACAACACTTCAAGAGAGACGACGTAATCAACGCGACTGAAAATTTTTTCGCGCACTTCGTAACATCAGGAGAAAACTTGCGACAACAAATCGTTGTTACCGTGCGCCTCCGAAAACATACGGCGGAAGCGGCTATAATATCGACTTGCGATGACTACGCAAGGGCTCCGTTGAGTGTGACGAAAGGGATGAAAGCCAAACTTTCGGCCAAGTGTAGCCATCATGGCATGTAGCCATACTGAGTTTTCAGTAAATTTCGTCATAAGCTTCTCTAACGAAACTGGTTTGAATCATAGCTACAAATACAAGCGCTATTGTTTCCAGCCATGTCACGCTTGACTCGAGCAAGTGAAAAAACAAGTCTGACGACACCCAATCGAGATCTTGATGGAGGTTTGAGATATCGATCTCGAGTCGAATGCGCCGGTGCCAGTTCAGCCAGGCGTGCTATTCTGCATAGAGTCTAGGAAACTCTATGGTGCCAGATCAGCCAGGGGTGCTATTCTGCATAGAGGAAACTCTATGCTATTCTGGATATTGTCGAATTCCGGCATGTTGTCAGGTTCTCCATTCATCGATGCTAATTGGCCAAGTGAGCTGCTACGACCTCTCTGGTTGGCTTAAAATGCCCCCATTGCGAAATTTGACAATGTGGCGGAATTAGACAATGGCTGGAATTGCACCTCCAGTTAAAGTTGTTGCGCATTCGCACATAAGTGTCCCTATGTAGCTACATGGCGGCCAGCACTCACTGATCATACTGTGGGCTGATTTCGCTTGTTTTGCTCGTCTTTCATGCAGGGAACTAGCTGATTTCGTGAGCAACGCAGCTGTACGCAGCGTGTAAAAAGTCCTACGTCACGCTCAAGAAGTGCGTGGCCGTCGATAATTACCTGGATAAAAGTTTATGTACAAATCATCTTGACAATGGCAAGCTCCAATGTATAGGTCGAAATGCAAATCCTAATTAGTATACTGTACCCTAGGCTAGGTGCAATAAGACTGTGGTTGTTCATATTTTGCTCTCATCGAAATTTCTTCATGTGACAATTAGAGTCACATGAAGCGCCGGCTAAACTTACTTTGCACTGTGCAGTGTACCAACCCTGTTATACACGTGCCTTATATGTTCCAACAAGGTCTTCGGATATATCTACGCGGTTTGGTTTAATGAATCTGTTATGCGCTGCAACGAGCGCATCCTTGCTTTAATCAGTGAATTTTACTTTTTGATAAATAACAAAACAGTTTGTTGTAGTTTAAACAAACGCCACCAGCGTGTTGTCAGGATGGCCGATTCTGCTTCTGGACGCCGGTTGGTGCAGACGCAGGATGGAAAGCTCATCCCGAGCAGCGACAGCGGCCGACGCCGGCCGCGGTACAGCGTCTCCCCTCGTTCCAAAGGACTACAGGATTATTCTGCCTTCGTTGCCATCAGGTGAAGCGATGCGTCGAGCAGTAGCTCTACACTGCGACGTCAGCGGCCGACCGTACCGCATCGATGACTTCAGGAAACCTCTCAAAGATTTAGGCGTCATACAGCAAGTAAGTGGCATCGGAGCATATCAGATGTCACACGTGTGGCTATTTAACATGAAGACCGTGGAAGCAAAGAAAGCGCTGACAGACGCAGGCGTTCTCAAAGTTAAAGACCGGGTATGTCTCGTCATTGACCGGACGCGGCAAGAGGTTAAAATGAAATTGCACTCGCTAGCGTTCGATGTTACAAAAGACGCTATTCGACGTGCCTTCTATGAATACGGCGACGTCAAGGAGGTGACCGATGACCGATGGAGAGTCGAGGATTTTGAAGGAGTTGAATCGACCACTCGTGTAATACGCATGCAACTACGAGATGGCGTTTCTGTGGATCAACTGCCCCATCAGGTGCGTATTGGCAGCAGTACGGCACTGGTCGTGGTGCCGGGAAGACCGCCTTTGTGCTTGCGGTGCCGAAGCACGGGGCATATGCGACGCGATTGTAAGGTCCCAAGGTGCAGCGAATGCCACTCTTTCGGTCATGAGCAGGACGAGTGCAACCGTTCATACGCACGAGCTGCAGGGCGACGACCAGAGACTCAACAGAGTGAACTTCTCATGGATGAGGAGGAATCTGAACAAGCGTCCTTGCCTGCGACACCACAGAAGCAGACGACATCGGACGACACGCCGGTGCTGAAGAAAAGCAAGCAAGTTTCTTCAGCCCTGGACACGAACGCCGGGCGGAAGATGGGAAGTCAAGCGGCCCCAACGACTAGCGAACAGAGGAGACGCACGGTGGACGCCGGAGCGAGCGGACGCGCGTCGCATACGCTCCGCCGAACGTGTGCTCTCGTTGACCGGATTACTCCGATATCGTCACCGGCCCTGTGTCGGATCATCAAGTTTTAACTGTCCTGGGAATCCGCACACCCTTCCCGAGGCTGTAGAGCATCTCCATTTTTCTCTATCGCCTTCAGAAGAACCCATGTGAGCGCTGGGCCGCTGGGCCTAAGCGTCGACCCAGCTCGCCTGTGCGAGTACGGCTGACTAGGCCTAACGGCGGGACCCCTTCCACAACAATATGGACGCTAGCACTACGCCAACTGCTGACGTGACTACTACCGGATGCGTTCAACCTGCATTCAGCCCCAACGACACCCATGTTAACACGGAATCTCTCGACCTCGACGAGCTCACCTCGGCAAGCGAAGATGAAGTTGCCGTGCACCATCCTACATCGTCTGCATCGCTGGGACCGGCGAGCGACACCGACGCCAACTGGAAACTGGCGATTTCCCGTCGCCAGCGTCAACGCCAGAAAAAATTCGACAAAGCTCGAGTGGAATTGATGCAGCCGGTCGGTCCTGCAAGCACTCCGCCCAGCCACGTCAACGCCGGGGCTGCTGCGGCTGCGAGCGCTCCTGCTGCGCAGGCAGACGCGGCCGGCGTCGCACCGGCGCGAACACCACCACCCGTAACGAAGCCGTGCCAGCTACGACGGAAGCTGCCGCCGCTTCCACGCACGGACATAAAGATCATCATGCGCCCGAAAAAGGGCCTGGCCATTCGGAACTTCACTACGCATCAAATCTCCCGAGCCGTAGCACTGGCGGGCAATTCTCGACAACATTGTACTGGTGATCATTTCATTATACGTACTCGCCCCGGGTCGAACAGTCATTGCCAGCACGCCACATGTTGAGATGGCCGAAATTCTTCGTCGGATCACCACCGTCACGCTTGAGAGGACGACCTACGAATTCAATACCTATGTGGCGGCCCCTGAGGGCACCTTGTGGGGAGTTATTGATGGGATAGACCCTGGCACAACTCCGGAAGAACTCACCGCCAACCTCCGCGTGCGCACGCAGGGAGTGACAGTGCACAGTGCACGAATGCTTGGTGCTACCAAATCTGCCGTGATCACTTTTGAGGGCCCCCTTCTGCCCCGATATGTACTGTATTACGGTGGGGAGGTGGCCTGCCATCCGTACAAGCCGACGCGACAAGCCTGCCAAGTCTGCTTACAACCGGGGCACCGCTCAGACGTATGCCCCACGCCAAACACTCCCGTGGGTCGGCAGTGTGGTATCCTCAACCCCGTTGGTGCTCCCAAATGTCACTTGTGTGGAGATGCCCACTTAACGGGCGCCAAAGGGTGCTCTCAGAGACTGAAGGCCCCGCGCCCACGGCCACCTCCTCAACCAGCAGCACCAGCCAGGGGCCGCAACCCCCATCGTAACCCACCCACTCCCAAACGCAGGTGGTTCAGCAAGGAAAACGAGACCTCATGCAGCCACTCCCGCTCACGCTCGAGGTCACAGTCCTTCCCGCCCCTCCCTTCTGTGGAACCTGGCCAACAGCAGCAGCCAAAGCAGCGACAGCATCCGAAGAACCAGATGACCAAGGGCAGCAGCAGCAGCAGCAACCCACCTGTCAACAGTCCCAGCACGCCTCCAGCAAACATAATGGGAAGCCCAATCCCACTCCATCAGCCGATGCCGACATTAAGGTGAGCTGGTCAGCAAATGTAGATCCTCCCATCGCTCCACTCAATACCCTGTCCACCGCATACGAACACCTTCTCGCGGAAAACATAAAACTCAAACAGGAGCTGGCGGCCGTCAGGGCACGTCAAGCAAATGACAGTTCTCAACTTCATGCCCTAATGGCGCGTCTTGGATCGCCGCCCGACTCCCCCGAAAAAAAAAAAAAAACCCAACCTCCCCCAAGAAACAGAAGACCCCTAAAACGACGCTATCAATTCCTGCTGCGTCGGGCACCACAGTCACACGCGAAGAGCTACGCGAAATGTTCTCAACGCTCGCGCAGCAGCTATCGCAACAATTCGGTGCCGTATTCACGCAGTTCGGAGAACGCCTCGACTCTCTCTAGACACGCTTCGAGGCGCAAATTGCTGAAACAGGCGAAAACATACGCAGGAAGAGGGCCACTCGTAGCTCGCACGCCACGACAGATCAAGGTTACCATAGACTAGGATTGGAATCACATGCATCCGAAATCCTCGCTACCCCCGCATTGACACCCAGCGCCCTCACCCTCACTCCTACATCGGCGTCGCAAGCCGAGATTTCGATACCCACGCCTTTCCACTCAACGAATTAACCATGGGCAGCACAGCCCCACTCATTGGCGAACATTTAGAAGTCTGGCAATGGAACTGCCGCGGCTTCCGCAGAAAGCGGAGCCTCCTCCAACAGTACATTAACACACACCTTGCTCGGCCAGATGTCATAGCGCTTCAGGAGCCCGGAACGCCACCCATATTTTCAGGTTATGAGTCCTATAATAGTCAAACAAAGGGCAAAGCGGCCATCCTGATTGACAAAGCGCTAACCGCAGTTGGCTTAGACAATATCCCAGACACCAACATATTGTATTGTATTTGTGGGGTTTAACGTCCCAAAACCACTATTTGATTATGAGAGACGCCGTAGTGGAGGGCTCCGGAAATTTTGACCACCTGGGGTTCTTTAACGTGCACACAAATCTGAGCACACGGGCCTACAACATTTCCGCCTCCATCGGAAATGCAGCCGCCGCAGCCGGGAATCGAACCCGCGACCTGCGGGTCAGCAGCCTAGTACCTTAGCCACTAGACCACTGCGGCGGGGCCAGACACCAACATAGAACA